TGTCAATGGACATTTGGGCTCTTTCCATACTTAGACTACTGTCAATAATGCTGCTATAAACATTGGGGTGCATGTGCCCCTTCAAAATAGCACACCTGTATCCTTTGGATAAATTCCTAGTAGTGCTATTGCTGGGTCGTAGGGTAGTTCTATTTTTAATTTTTTGAGGAACCTCCATACTGTTTTCCAGAGTGGCTATGCCAGTTTGCATTCCCACCAACAGTGCAAGAGGGTTCCTCTTTCTCCACATCTTCACCAACATCTGTCGTTGTCTGAGTTGTTAATTTTAGCCATTCTGACAGGTGTGAGGTGGTATCTCATTGTAGTTTTGATTTGTACTAATAGGTTTTGTATGTCAATTATACCTCAATTAAACAAATAGAGGCATAAAGTAGTCAAAGAACATTCTTTATGTTTATTTATTTTGAGAGACAGAATGTGATCAGGGGAGGGAGACAGAAAGAGAGAGAGGGAGAGAGAGAATTCCAGGCAGGCCCCATGCTGTCAGCACAGAGCCTGATGTGGGGTTTGATCTCACAAACCATGAGATCATGACCTGAGTGGAAATCAAGAGTTGGGTACTTAACTGACTGAGGCACCCATGAGTCACCAAAAAGTATTCTTTAGTTGAACCTACATTGAGCAAGTTAAGCTTCCTGGGGATTTTCAGTGGGTTTGTACTGACATGAAATCTTTGTTAAGGGGATAAGTCATGTGAGAATCACATAAGCGTTACTTTGAGGATCTTTACAGCACACACTCTTCCAAGTTTGGTAGGAGAATATTTACTTTCTTAGGGCAAATGGGAATAAAATGAGAATAGTATGAAAAATGGGAATAATAGTATCTATTTCATAGAGTTGTTCTCAGGTGAAAGGGAGTAACTACATGTAAAAGTCTGTCACCAGTGCCTGGGACACAGCAAATGTTATGAAATGGTAGCTGTTGTTTTGCTATCAAAATAGTCACTTGCCCAAATATCCTATTGAAACTGGTTAGTGATTTGCTGGTCACTAAGTCCAACGACTCTCAGATTTTCGTTTCTCTGCAGCACCGAACGAGGTTAATTGAGAAACTTGCTCCCATTTCTGTGGCCACGCAGTTTTATAATAGTCTATAGATCTGTTCCTGCCCAGTCCCTGCAGACTGAGCCTTGAGGGTAAGAACCAGGTCACCAGCCCCAGCAATCAGGACAGAGGCCGGCTCATTGTGGTTCTCAGGAATTGCCGAAGGACTGAGAGCACCACCAAGGCAGAGACAGTTCTGCTAGTCTTGTGTCCTGGCCTTGACTTCTCGTTCTCCTCTCCTCAGTAAGCAGAGCTGTACCCTAAGACTCACCTGCAGCCCTCTCATCTCCAACCTGGTTCTCCTGCAAACCTCGTTTTCTCTGAAATCCAATGATCTGTTTAGAGTCTCTCTTCTGAGCTCCTGTAATACAACTTCAGCTGTCGCCTTGATGTCCTGTAGCATCTTAAATTCAACAGGTCTAACTCCAAACTCACAGCCCTTAGGAAATCAATTTTTCCCAGCACTTCCTGGTTTCTGAGAGGGGGACCACCTGTGTTCAGTACCCCGGGCACAAAATCCTGGATTCACTGTCAACTTGTCTTTCTACACTTCCGTCGTCTTATTGCTGTATGAGCTAGGAATCTTTTGGTTGCAAGAAATTTCAACTCAAACTGGCTTAGGCTCTTACATAACTGGGAAATCCAAGGATATCCTGCTTCCACACACAGATGAGTCCAGGAGTTCCAGTCCAAAGTTACAGGGGCTCCTGCTTTTCTACCCCTCAGCTCTGCTTTCCTTTATGTGGGTCCCATTCTCAGGCAAATTTGCTCCATGTGGCACGATGGCTGTCAGCAAGTCTGGGCTTCCATCACACCTTCCTAGCAACACCAGGGGAAAGAGAGCACCCTGTTGTCAGGTAATACAGAAACCCCACCCCGGATTAGCTTTTATTCTAACTGGATCATGTGCAAATTCCTCAGTTTCTGGGGCTGGGGGCTTGAGGTGGAGGAAGTGATGCTGAGTATCCAGGTCCGGGCCTAGCGGTGGAGTCGATTCATCCAAACCACATGAACAGAGACGGGGGGTGGAGTGGTTGTCTAAGAAACATATGGGTCTGTCACCAGGAACAAAGAGGACTTATGTGGGGGAGGATACCAGCTAAGGAGACACCTGCCACAGTCTGAGAGATGGCAGATGAGGATGAACAGGTAAGTGATGTGGGCACAGAAAACGAAGAGAAGCATCTTAAAGATATCCAGGAGTTAGAACTGACAAACTTGTATGAGGGTGAGAGAGAGGCAGGAATCCAAGATGACACTAATTTCTGGCTTAGGTGATCAGTAGGTGGTAACGTCTTTCCCCAGACCTGGAACATATTTTAAAGGAGGAAAAGTGATGACTGAGTTTACATGTTCAGTTTGAGGTTTATGAATCCTTAGGTAGAGATGTCCAGCAGATGTGGGCTGGAGATGAACGTGGGGTCACCAGCCATAGGTGATGGTAAGTCATGGAAATGGGTGAAAATGAGCCATGATGAATGTAATGTCCACAGTGAGAAGATGGCGAAGACCTAGCCCAGTGAAAACATTTTAAGGAGTGTGCCAAGAGTGGTAAACAGCCTCGAATACTACAGAAGGTATATAAAAACTAAATTGGTCCATCTAATTAGCAACTACAAAATAACTGGTGACTTTGGTGAGTAGTTGCATTGGAATGGTAATGGCACAAGCCAGGATTAAGCAGAATCAGGGATGGGATGGGAGCCGAGGAAGCACAGGCTTAGGGCAAAGGTATTTCTCTGAAGGAGCTTGGCTGTGATGGAAGATGGGCCAGAATATAATGTCTTTCCCCTAAAGCACGCGTTCTTTGTGGTTATCAATCAACACTTAAATTGCTTTTAGTTTTTATTTTAAGCATATGCACATCTGTTCTACATTCTCAACTAGACCAAGTTCTTTTTCTTTTTTTTTCTTCCTTCCTTCCTCCCTCCCACTTTCTTTTTCTTTCTTTCTTTCTCTTTCTTTCCCTTCCTTCCTTCCTTTTCCTTCCTTCCTCTTTCTTTCCTCTCCGAGAGCAAGCACACATGCAAGTGGGGGGACAGAGGGAGAGAGAGAAAATCTTAAGCAGGCTCCATTCTCAGTGCGGAGCCCAACATGGGGCTTGATCTTGTGACTGTGAGATCATGACCTGAGCCCAAATCAAGAGTCAAATGCTCAACCAACTGAACCACCCAGGCTCCTCTAGACTGTATGAACTTCATTAGGACCAAGAATGGTACTCTGCACAGTAAAAATACAATGCTTGTCAATTGATAAAACACGAATTTTGAACTGGAGCAAAGGGTATCCTTACATCAGTAACCTGTCTTGGTGCCAGACTACCCATTTTTTCTTCCACTCTGGGAAAGAAACGTGCAGCAATTGAGGTGAGGCAAGTCCAGAAGACCTTCTAAAGCTGACACTCTAAAAGTGGGAACATGGTTCCACGGTGCTGGAGTCCCTGGAGGTGCTTGGTATTTTGAGGCTCCCTGTATTTTACGGACATGTGGACTATAAAACAAGGCAAAAGGAGAGGCCTGTTTCACACATTCATCCAGCAGAATAAAGCCTTTATAGTTCATCACAGAATCCTTAATGGTGGTCAGAATCTCTGACCTGCCTCAGCAAGGCCGAGCAATCCCATTTAAGAGATGTTTGTGAGTACTCCACATTAAAAGTTCCAGACTGGACTTGGCTGGTTCCAGTATTGAATAGGAAAAGCAGCACAAAATGGTTCCAGGAGCTAGTGTGACGTCAGGAAAACAGCATAAACATGATAGTCACAAGACCTTGTTCTCTATGCCTCTGTCATTAGTTGGGTGCCCTTGGGCTAGCTGCTAGACCTGAGGCCATATTCTAATTTGTTATTAGGGGATAATACCTACATTGCCAACCTCATTAAACTCCAGTGAATGGCTCACATAATCATCCTTTCTTTCCTCAGTAAGAACTAAAACTTTATATAAAAGCATTGGGTTAACTACAGAGCAGGAATGGGGATTTTTAACCTGTTAAGTACCTACTATATGCTTGGCACTTGGCTTATGCACTGCGTCTCTGTGAGGTACAACTGAAATCACCACTCACTTCTCTGGACATGACCCTCTCCCATAACATTCTCCTCTCCTTGGATCACTGGTGTTTCACATAGCAGATACCAGTTTTAGAACAACAGCTTTTAAAGATCCAGATCTATTAAAACCACTTGGTAGTATTCCCGATGTGCCTGATTGGTGATTAACAGCATCTTCATAATCAGCAAATCCAGATGGCCACGGATCATGTTCTCTGGATCTAAAAATCCCACATAGTCGAGCACTGGAGCAGATGCAAAAAGAATGATGGAAGTTAAGACGTAAGTACAGATATGAGTTGTGTGCTGGAATTATAGGCACAGGGAGCGGCATGTGTCTCAGCAACACAGGTGAGGTCTGCGAGGAGCTTTCAGAAATAGGAGAGAGGAAAACTTTATCATGAACATGGGGAAAAAATACGCAGTCTCAAGCAGGAAAAACAGGAAAAGCTAAAAGAAAAAAAAAACCACTGTGCTTCGGTGGTTTTTGAAGGTTATATGAAGTATAATTTGGAGATCAAAGTGGGATTTGCAAGATGAATTCAGTATTTAAACCTTCGTCTCTTTGCTGCCCCAGGAAAGTTGTAACATTAGAAAATTACGATTGTTCCTATTTTGCTAACATCCATGGTTTTCCCAACCATATACTGACGACAGGGATGTACCAATATACATCACAACCAATGTGAGGTTTTGAGAATATTAGTTATAAACAGACTGACTTTCAGAGGTCCTCAGTGAGGGACCAAGATGTGCAGTGCTAATGACTCCTCTCCATGCCTGAAGGAGCCACACGGTGCCTTATCAAAGGGTGTTCTGGCTGTGCGTGAGCACGGGACAGGCCTAGGGTATTTTTACTCAGGGCGAAACAGCTGGTAATGTCCGCTTCATTTGAACATTTATTTCTAAGTGGCTTTCTGCCTCAAATGGGAAAAACATCTTTAGAACAAGGAAAACAGTATCTGTGTCTTTCTTTCTGAACTCAAAATATTAACCGTTACCCCCTATGGTCATTAACAGAGCTAAGCTCACTGCAAATGCGGCAGACAAGAAAAGCTTATACAGCAGAAATGCCATCGCATAAAGGATTCTCTGTAGTTCTCCTACCTGTTCCTCCTCTTCTCTGAAGAGTAACTTTCAAAGCATCTAATAAAACTCAACATACGTATTTAAGATGATGCACAGCAGTTCTTGCAATGACATCAGTTTTGGGAGGTGATCTTGCTTTGAATTAGTTTCAAATGACATGTCACCAAGCAAGGCCTGGTTAGAGGGAGGGAGGGAGTCTACACTCCAACACTGTCTCACCTCTAGAGTCTAGCGCCTGCCGGAAGCCTGTTCCTCATGTTGAAGTGCCCTCCAGTGCTCACCAGTAACCTGCATCCTTGTCATCTGTGCACAACAGTGGCTAGGCCAGACTGAAGGCGTTAGTAACCTAGAATTACTGCATTACGATTCCTAACTGCTTTATTTTCAAACTCTACCATCAAATTATTTAGATTACTGAGTGCTCAGAGTAAAGACATGCCGTGCTATTTCAGAACATCCATTTTTCAGAGGATGTCTACCTTCTCCAGCTTTCCAAATGGCAGCATGTACAAGATACTCTAGTGAGGGTTTTTTATTACAAGTTGAAGGATAAGTTTTAGGATACGATATTTTGGAGTGAGTTGCTGAAAGTAACCTGTGAGAAAAATGAGGGAACAGCAACGCTAACCCAAGTGAATCAAGCAAAAATACTACTTGTCCTAGGCTATAAACTACTAAGCACAAAATATAAACAACATATTGTAACTTTATTAGATTTTTCTATTTTACTGGCTGTTTGGACTCAACAAAGAAAGGCCTTAGTAACCTGTAACTTTAACACCTCAGGTGTCACAGTACAGAACACAAAATCTGATTGGGTGGCACAAGACCAGTCAACCTGTCACACGGCACCCACTGACATCACAGCTGTGGTCATGTCATGTTTTTATAATAATTCAATCACAAACGTAAGACATTCGGTATTATGTGAGGGTTCTCTGCTGCTGCTGTGCAAGGCATCACCCAACAACAGTTTACTAGACAGGCCTAATTAATGACAGATAAGATACCAGCAGGTGCCACTGTGCAGGGAAGTCAAAACTCTGCCTCATATTTAGAATGAGAAAAGTAGCAAGTCTATGAAAAACTATGACCTCTTTTGGGCTCCTATTCCTACACCTCCATACACACTCCCTGCTCAATGTGTCCCATTATCCATTTATCTAATATCCAGGTAGGACTCCGTGGGTACTTTCCAAGTGAGAGCGGTGTTCAGGGTTTTGCTGGGTTCAGGGGAAGGGGGCAGATGTGTGGATAAATGGACAAACTGACAACAGGAGGAGGGCAAGGAAAACATTTCAAAACTCTTAGTTAATAGGATGCTCTTCACAACACTTCTCAGAATGTAAACAGAACTTGGTGTAAACAGGTTCATTCTGATGAATAAAGACTTACAGGACTGAGTCAGGCAGTATCTTGGCCTATCTGCACCCCTCAACAGATTTTCCTAAAACCTGGGGGACAATCAGGGAGGAAGTATATCCACCCTTTCCAAAGGAGGGCAGTGGGACTCCTCCCAGAAGGTAATGTTACAACACTGGCTCCTGAAAGCAGCAGCCGCCCGCCAGCTACTTTGCAACAGGCAGTTATAGCTGCACAATTTGGAACCCGTCAGGTCTTGAGTCTGGCGTCTGAGGAGCATTTCAGTCCACCTCCATTCCGTGAGAGGCAGTGGCGTTCGGCAGCTTCGGTCAGTGCTCTATCCTTTGATCACGGCAATTGGTCTCAGTTTAATGGCCTTCTTGCTGATCCCAGCATCATGGCAGGTGTTCACCACGTCGGTCACATTCTTGTAGGACTCAGGAGCCTGCAAGGGAGGAGTTAGACATCATCAAAGTCTATTAAAATGGAATCATTGAAAGCATTAAACTTCATGTGGGATTAAAGAAATGCACATTAAAGTAATACTGAGTATTCTTTTGTCTGTCAAATAAGGATTAAAATGATGAACGAGCTCAGTGTTGGTAAGGGTGATGGTAAGATAAACACTTCCATCCTGTTTTATATTTTTTCTGTAGTTCTCATAATTTCCCCATAGAACATGTATCACTTGTATTACTAGGAAAAGCAGTAGTTGAATAAAACATATACACCAATACCCGACAGAGAAGACACACACCAAACAATCCTGTTAGTGGTAATTATCTATGGATGGTAGTTACTGGCCATTTTGATTTTCTTTCTTTATATATTTCTGCAGTTGTCAAAATTTCTGGAACGCACATATACTACCTTCACAATAAGGGAAAGTTCTGTTCAATGCATGTATATTACTGTCAGTGTATGTGCACACATTCATGGGTACACATGTACACACACACTGTTATCTCTGACTTTCCAGCAAAACCACCACCCACCCCTCCCACCTGGTCACTGTCCTGCCACCATGAGAACCAGTTTCCTTACACATACCCTTTCTTCCTGGTCATGTTAGCACAGACGCTCAGGCCTCCTGCTGACTCCCACAGGGCTCTGCACATAGCCCTTTCTAGCTCATGTCCCATTCCCTGCCAACTTCTAACTTCCCCACCACAGCCTCTGGAACTCCCTCCAGGGAGTCATGTGCAGAATCCTTTCCCTCTTCCCCTCTTCTCTGAACATTCCCTTTACCTTCCCATTCTTGCTGAAACACAGATCTCCCCTAGGGATATTACTTCCACCTCCAACTTTCTGAAGTAGTAGCTGTTTTCCCTCCTAAATGGGGTCCTATCATTAGGCTCAGACTTGTTGTTCTTGATTCTTTCCAGGCCATTCGTGCTCCTTCCTCCCTAAGTACTCTCAGCTTTGAGTCTCACAGTCATAACATTTTTCTACCCTTTCTTGATGTAGTTCCCAGCTAGACTCTGAATCACTCCCTAGCATTACCTGAAGATTTCTTGATCCTGGCTCAGTGTCCCTCTCTCCTGCTAATAATTCCAAAGGATTTCAGTATCTAGGAAGAGGATCCTTTCAGTATCTTGGCCTCTTAGTTCCCTGAGTTTTGCTCCTTCAAGTTTATTTTTAGAGAGAGAGAGAGAGAGAGAGGAGCGAGCGAGCATGCACAAGCAGGGAAGAGGCAGAGAGAGAGGGGGAGAGACAATCCTGCACTGTTAGCATGGAGCCCAACGTGGGGACTCAATCTCAGGAACCGTGAGATCATGACCTGAGCCAAAATCAAGAGTCAGATGCTTAACCAACTGAGCAACCCAGGCGCTCCGAGTTTTGCTCCCTCAGTGCTTACCTTGGCCATTCACTCCCACCCAGGGCCATACCCCAGAACTTATCATTACCAGTGATCACAACTCCTCCATAATCTCAATTTCAAGCATGTCATGCTGGTGACGACAGCTAGGTTTCCAGCTCACTCCCCTCCTGTGCTTCATCTCCAACAAGACCTATAATCCTTTTGCAACACCTGTAACAACCTTGCTTCTCTCCCACTGCGCCGTACTTGCAAACCTGGTTAAAGTTAGTTCAACATCTATTTCATGCCTGCACCTGCACGGCTGAATGTAGTTGAAAAACGCCCCATCACTGAATTTAGCTCAAGTAGGCGCCTGCTGCTGTCCTGGCAACCACCCCAAACTTCCCCAGGTTGATTACTATTTCTCTTAAATGGTCATCTCCTACCTTCTCCTGCAGTCTTACTCCTAGTTGCTGGTACTACTTTCTATACACTGAAAACAAGAGAAGCAGCCAGAATAGAATCTCCACAAACTCTCACCATATCCTCCCTGACTACCTGCTTCCTACCTTCTGTCCTTCCATTAATAATTCATTATCTGAGCTCTTAACCAAACCAAGCCCAACCACCTGCACATCCGATTCCATCTCCTCTCCTCTACCCAAGGACACTGCTCCAGTAATTCCCCCTGCTTTCCTGCATTATCAATTTCTCTTCTAGAATATTCTCATCCGGGTGCCAGATCCTGTTACTCTTCTGCTCAAAATTCTCCCATGTCTTCCCATCATCTCACTCAGAGTAAGAAGAGCAAAAGTCCCTCTGTAAAGGAAAAGGCAAGGACCCACATGATCTGGTGCCCCTGCCTCTCTGACCTCATCTCCCTCGCGGTGGCCTCCTTGCTATGTCTCAAACACCCAAGCATAACCTCACCTTAGGGTTTCTGCACATGGCTGTTCTCTGTGCCTGGAAAGCTTGCCCCTAGATCCCCACATACACCCACACGGCCCACCCCCTCAATGCCTTCAGGTCTTCACTCAAGTATCACCCTCTACACCCTACTTAAAACTGCACCCACTTCTGATTTTTCCCTATCCCCATCCCATTTGTACTTTATAGCACTTACTGTCATCCAACACACTACATCTTTTACTGTGTGCTGAGTTTCACAAGAAAGGGATTTGTTGGTTTTGTTCTCTGCAGCACCTAGAGAAGCACCTAACTATAACAGATGTTTAATTAAGTGTTTCCCGAGTCAATGAAAAAATCATATGCAAAACATGCAACTAAGGAATATACCAACTGTTAATAGAGGTTATCTCTGGCTGGTGGAATTTTACATGGCTTGTTTTCTTCTTTGCATTTTCCAAAATCTCTTAATTAAACAGGTGTTCTTCTTAAAATCAGAAAAAATTAATAGTTGTTAAAAAATAAGGCTTTGTAATACTCTGTGACTCAGCCTACTTTTAGGACTTCATTCTAATTATTAAAACAGCTGGAAAAAAACTTCATGCATAAAAACACACATTACAACTTAATTTATAATAGCAAAATCTGGAAGTCAGTTAAATGTCAAATATGGGCAGAAACTCATGGTACTTAACTGGGAGACTATTTGGCAACCATTAATTAAATTATTTTAATGATTAAATTATTAATTTGATCATTAAAATAATTTAATTAATGATTTGGCAATCATTAATAATTGTTTTATCTTTACAAGCAATACTACAGTAATGTGCTAAATTTAAAAAAGGACTACAAAATGTTTGTAAACTATGATTATAATTAGTTTTTAAAAAAGCATTTAGGGAAAAAAATGGCAGTCAGCATCCTAAAAAAAGGTTAACAGTTGTGTTAGGGCACTGAGTTTCTGGATGACTACCTTTCTTTTAAACTTCAAAAAAAAAGTTATGGGGTGCCTGGGTGGCTCAGTCAGTTGAGCATCTGACTTCAGCTCAGGTCATGATCTCACAGTTTGTGAGTTCGAGCCCCATGTTGGGCTCTGTACTGACAGCTCAGAGCCTGGAGCCTGCTTCAGATTCTGTGTCTCCCCCTTTCTCTGCCCCTCCCATGTTCATGCTCTGTCTCTCAATAATAAATAAAAAAAGTTGGTTGAGCGTCCGGCCTTGGCTCAGATCATGATCTCACAGTCTGTGAGTTCAAGCCCCGCGTTGGGCTCTGTGCTGACAGCTCAGGGCCCGGAGCCTGCTTCGGATTCTGTGTCTCCCTCTCTCTCTGCCCCTCCCCTGCTCATGCTTTGTCTCTCTCTGTCTCAAAAATAAATAAGAACATTAAAAATATAAAAAATAAATAAAGTTAAAAAATGTAAATGTTTAAAAAAAAGTTATGTTGTTTCTATTTCCAATATGTGCATATCTGTACATAACATACATATAACTTAAACAAAATCTTGGCTCCCTTTTGAATCAAAACTATTTCCCTAAACATCTTACCCTTCCCTTTTCAAATGTGCTTTCAAATTTATTTTATTTATGTATTGTATGTATTTAGAGAGTGTGCACAAACATGGGAAGGGGGGAGGGAGGGAGGGAGAGAGACGGGGGGGAGAGAGGGAGAGGGAGAGGGGGAGAGAGAGAGAACATTTTTTTTTTTTTTTTTAATTTTTTTTTTCAACGTTTATTTATTTTTGGGACAGAGAGAGACAGAGCATGAACGGGCGAGGGGCAGAGAGAGAGGGAAACACAGAATCGGAAACAGGCTCCAGGCTCCGAGCCATCAGCCCAGAGCCCGACGCGGGGCTCGAACTCACGGACCGCGAGATCGTGACCTGGCTGAAGTCGGACGCTTAACCAACTGCGCCACCCAGGCGCCCCTTGAGAGAGAGAGAGAACATTTTAAACAGGAGCCACGCCCAGCGCGGAGCCCAATGTGGGGCTTGATCTCATGACTGTGAGATCATGACCTGAGCCAAAGTCAAGAGTTGGATGCTTAACCGACTGAGCCACACAGGTGCCCAGCTTTCAAATTTAAGTATACAGCTGTGCAAAAGAAAAGTTAAAATGAGCTCAAACAATTTTTAAAGTTTAATATGTAGAAAGGTAAGAATCATTCTTATGTATTTGGCTTATAATTAATCTCCACACAAAAGACAAAGATACACTTTAACTGAGGTTATTTAAAAACAAACGTAATACAGCAATACTAAAAATTGTTCTGTGTAGTGGCATAAATCAGAGACAGTTTTATGCTGAATATTTATCAAAATTCACTTACCTCTTCCATAACCAGTTTGGGTGAGGCAACGCGGATTGCGATTCCCATATCTGCCAGTTTGTCCAAGACATCCTGGAAATCTAAATTACGTCGAGATTTTGCTCGGGATAATGCACGGCCCTGGATTGGGGACAGAATGAACCTCACTTTATAAATTCTGAGCTACAATTTATGTTCAATTCCAGCAATTATTTAAGCCCTTGGGATTATATGCCTTTTCCTTGACTTCTTTTTAAATTAAAAAAAAAAAAAAAAAAAAAAAAGAGTAAAAAAACAATCTTTTTCTGTATTCTCAACCTTATTAGGTGTCTTTTGTTACAAGTCTCATCATATCCTTCTGGAAAACAAATTTCCACCTATACAAAACATTCAGTATTTGAAGATTCAGTTTTGTGTTTCTAACTACTATTATCAATTCAATATAAATACATTGATTTTAATATAAACAGTATGTCTATTATCACAAAAACTTTATGCTTTGTGATTTAAAACAGTTTCTCAACATCAGCACTACTGACATTTTATTAAATGTTTATTTATTTTTGAGAAAGAGACTGAACATGAGCAGGGGGAGGGGCAGAGAGAGAGGGAGGCACAGAATCTGAAGCAGGCTCCATCTAGGCTCTAAGCTGTCAGCACAGAGCCCAAAGCAGGGCTCGAACCATGAGATCATGACCTGAGCTGAAGGTGAATGGTTAACCGACGGAGCCACCAAGGCGCCCCAACACTACTGACATTTTGGACCAGATACTTCTTTGTGTAGAATGTTCAGCAGCATCCTTGGCCTGTACTAGAATGCCAGCAGCAAAGCTACTCTCCCTCATTGTGACAATTAAAAAAGTGCTTCCAGGTGTTGCTAATGTATGGTGTGAGATGTGCTGGTTTTGATCACTGGGTTAAAATTAGGAATTGGGAGGCAGCTGGACATGAGAAAGGATCAGAGAAAAAGGATTTAAATATTATTTGTGAAGGTCTGTCCTACAAAAGATACTTTAGTTTCCATTTTCTACTCCATCACGAGCTAAGCATTCTCATGGCTTAGAACAGGGGCTGGCAAACTGGTTTGTGGGCCAAATCTGGTCTACCACCCGTTTTTGTAAATAAAGTTTTATTGGAACACAGCAATTCCCATTTGTTTATGTATTGTCTACGGCTGCTTTTTCATTACAATGACACAAGGGAATAGTTACTACAGAGACCCCATGGCCCAAAAGTCTAAAATACTTACCACCTGATGCTTTACAAAGTTTACCGACACCTGACTTAGAATGAAAGAGGCGATATGGTAAATAGGTGTGTATGCAGTCTATGCCTGGGCTGTGATTTGCAAATCCCCCAAATCTTGAGTGGACCTACCTAGTAAGGAGCAAATTATGCAAATGACTAGGTCCAGTGAATCACTGAGATAAGCTTTGATGTAAACTTGCATCAGTTAAAGTTATATCCGTTGTGCTGGTCTGACAATTTCTCAGTCTGGATTTTATAGCCCTGCAGAGATGAGGAACAGTCCCTGGCGCTACAATGACTTCACTAAAGTAGAGACACTAGGTGACTTTAGTCAGTTCATTAGACAGTGTACACTATGGGAATAAATTCAGGTAGAAAACAAGACAGACCCAAACTTCAACTTTGTTAATGCTCAAATACATTTACCTATCGAAATGCAAAAAGACGATTAAATGGAAGAGAGCATTTCTACCTAAGTTTCTGTTTTCCTTACCGCTCCATGACAAGTTGTTCCGAAGGTCTCAGTCATGCCCTGTTCAGTGCCAGTAAGAACGTAACTACAGGTGCCCATGGTGCCACCAATGAGCACTGGTTGTCCGGTGAGCTGAGGATACACAAATCAAATATAATTTAGAAAAGCATGAGCTTTTTATGCCTGAGATTTACACTTCCTCTCACATTGTAGGACTGTGGGAAAAACCTGGGCCTCTAAATACATTGTTTTCACAACTGTATTATGAAATTATTTTAACTCTTTGATAATCAAGAGAAGTGGAAGGGAGTGAAAATGTGAGGGCCAGGAAGGCAGCAGAAGACACACAATGTAAGAGCAAAGCCAAATCCAAACATTTGGGGAAGTGTTATTAGGAAGAACCATCCCAGGGAATGCACTTGCCCTTTTCAAGCTCTGGTTTTCTCATCTGTACAATGGGAGCAGACTAAGGGCCCTTCTACCTCTATCACAGCCAGACAGCAAGAGAAGAAGAAAAAAAAAAGGTTTTTTTCTTTTAATTTTAATCTTGCTTTCCAATCATTCAAAGGCCTTGAAAAGATCACCTTTATGGAGTAAAATAATGTCCATGCAGGACGTTTTAGACAGTCCACTGCAAGCAGATGATAGGCGGAGTCACTGCTTCAGAGAAGACTGGAAATCACTGTTCTCATGGATGACAGATTTTCTTTTCACAACTGCTGCCTTTCTCATTATTTTTTTTAAGTTTATTTATTTATTTAGAGAGAGAGAGGGGAGGGAGGGAGGAAGGGAGGGGGAGAGGGAGAGAGGGAGAGAGAGAGAGAGAGAGAGAGAGAGAGAGAGAGAGAGAGAATCCCAAGCAGGCTCCACACTGTCAGCACAGAGCCTGATGTAGGACTCGATCTCACAAACTGTGAGATTATGACCTGAGCCGAAGTTGGATGCCCAACTGACTGAGCACCCAGGCACCCCAGCCTTTCTGTTTAAATTCACTCATGTTTAGAGCTACCTAAATCATGCCCGCATGGCTTGAAACCACAAATGGCTTAGTACATACTTGGTAATCAACAGCAATAAGGGGATGGTGAGGAGGAAAAGCTCGGGTGGATCCCTTCCTGTGCACCAACAGTGTCCGTTCCTTTCCATCCACCACGTGCTGTTCGACTTTGGCAATGTTGTGAGAAACATCATAGATCACATGTAGGTCCAAGTCATCAGGAGTTGTGTTGAAGACCTTGGCAAAAGCCTAAGGGGAAAAGCTTGAGTTAAAAGCAGCCAGAACCAGCTTTTTAGAACTCACCTGATTTCAGCTCATCTGTTTCTGAAGGGAGTGAGGGGTTTAAGAGCTCAAATACAGCAGTATTATTAATCTTCACATAAAAGACAAAAACCATGTTTTACACCACATCGCAAATTCCACTCTGTAAATTCCAATGCTGGTTGAAAAGCTGCTGGGCTACTCTTGATCCCACCCTCAGAACTTCTTCCTCAGCCTTCTAGTCTTCGTGGATGGCACTTCTATCCTCTCTGCTGCTCAAGGCAAACTCTAGGAACAATTCTGGCTCTCTTCTTCCCTCATTCCCCATGCCTGATTCCCTGCTGATTTGGTTTCAGGAGACACCAAGAGCCTGGACATTCCCAGTATTTGTTACGTTTTGAAAACCAAATTCTATAAGCTCTGTTTTACACTTCACTGTGAGTAACAGAAGAGCAACTTCAACTGTACCTGACGGGTTAAGAAGGTCATGGAAGAGCGGTTGACCCAGGCATAGTTCCCAGCAGCTGCCATTCCCTTCAGGTAGTCCTGACCCTCTGGGGAAGCGATCCGAGCACAAGCCAATTGCCGGTCGTTGACTATGATCTTGTCTCTCTTCATGGCTTTTTCCATAGCAACCAGTGCATCTGGACAAGAGAGAAGCAAGTCTGAATCAGCCAGTTTTCCCTTTGTAATTCAGATTGCAGAAAAGCAGGCTATACTCAAGCCCATTCTTTGAAAAGCAAAATGCGACTTTCCCTTTGAAGTGTTTCTAAGTTCATCTTGGTCAAGACATACTTATTAGGCATCTTCTGTCAGAGCTGTGTGACAGAAGCTACGTGGGCTGCGAAGACAACACCTTCCCTCCAGGAACTTTTTAAGGGGAATGAGATGTGCATTCAAACAGCAACAATATGATCTTAGTTTTTCCTTTCTTGGCATGAGAATGTATGAATAGAAGCAGTAAAGTGCACTTTATTACCATAATGGTTTTTAAAAATAATCTTTCAGGGCGCCTGGGTGGCGCAGTCAGTTAAGCGTCCGACTTCAGCCAGGTCACGATCTCGCGGTCCGTGAGTTTGAGCCCCGCCGTCAGGCTCTGGGCTGATGGCTGGGAGCCTGGAGCCTGTTTCCGATTCTGTGTCTCCCTCTCTCTCTGCCCCTCCCCCGTTCATGCTCTGTCTCTCTCTGTCCCAAAAATAAATAAAAACGTTGAAAAAAAAAATTAAAAAAAAAATCTTTCAATGACTTAACAGAAAAGAGTTGGAGACAGGTTGCTAGAACTGCAGAAAAACCAAATTCATGACGAAGTGCTCAGAATACTCAGTAGAAAGTTCAGTATTACTAGTCAATACTCCATATATTTGCTAGATTAAAGATTCTAATGGGTCAGTCTGGCCCAAATTATTAAATTCCCATAGGATGAAATGTGCATAGAAGGATGAACTATATAACATGCAACTTAAGGTTAGTTATAATTTCCATGTGTCTACATACCTTTCCACATATTCATAAATCCTTTCACACACATTATCATCAGAGACTTTGCTGCTATTCCCCTGCCTCCTCTTTTGTCCGTGTTGTCTTTTGGCCATGAATGTCCTTTGTGCGTGATTGTCCAAACTGCAATAGTATGTGTTCACGCCACTCCCAAAATCTTTTTCCTACAGACTCTAGATCGACTCTTCTATAGCATTTAATCAACTACTATCTTTTCATTTTAATCAACGTGACATCTCTTTCTTGAAATAATTTGAGGGCAGGTCCTTGCCCATTTCCTCAGTGAATCCACCGTGATACTTAATCTTGCACTATAGGTACGTTAAGACATATTTGTATATGTCATAAATGTATAAACACTTTACATATACTATTTCATTTAATCTTCAACATGGCGTGAAATAGTAAAACCTACACAGTATGGTTTGAGAGCTTTCTCTCTTAAATCTCTATTTCCATAAACACATGTTTGAGCACTAAGTCAAAACTCAGGTCCAGAATATACCTGTGGCTACTTGGTGGCCCAAGCCTCTGCTTCCGCTGTGGATCATCACACACACCTGTCCCTTATGGTCAATGCCCATTTTCTTAGCAGCGTACTCATTGAAAATCTCATCCACAACCTGGATTTCTGCATAGTGGTTTCCTGCTCCCAGGGTCCCCAACTGCAAAAGTAAGAATGATAAAAATAGCTTCAATTCTGCTTTAAAAAAAAAATCCATTTAAAAAGCAAATAGGTAAAAACAACCAGTAACAAAAAATAATCACACTGTTTTATATAACAAAGACATTTCTGAGCCTTAGAAATGCTTCATGCACTTAAAGCAATACACAGTAAAAAATATGGTACAGTAGTTCTTGGAAGTTTACTGTATCATTATCTGCTTGAGGTATGCACATATAAAAAGCTTCATAAACCAAAACTCAGACCATTAAAGGGCTTATAGGACACTTTAAACATTGTGGAGAGAAAGGTCAAATTTTGGGATGAACTCTGGTGAATGCGGACTCCTACACAAGGTCCAAATTCAAATGTTTTTTTGAAACATCAGTGAGTTCACTGACACCTACCACTATCCACCAATGAAAGAATATGTTCCATAACTGGAATTAACAGATGTAGGGACCATGGAATAGAAGTGCTAGAAGGGTCTTTAGAGGGTGTCTAGTTTTAACTATTCCAATTTTCAGATAAGAAAACAGACCCAGAGAAGCAAAAGAGACTTGCCCACAGTCACAGCGAATTAGTGGCAAGCCATCCCAATTAGCTGTAGATTTCAAACATGTGGTATATTCTGATCTCATGAACACCATAAATTGACAACGCATGTCTTCTCACTTTAGGCTCCAGAAAATTCAGCCAAATCTGCAGATTGTCAAAGTATGTTCATACGCAATTTGGGCATACATTTTAAGCCTTATAATCATATCCCACTTTTCTCACATTCATTTCTAATTCAGCACACTTTGTTTTATTTTATGAACATCTGCGAGATCCTAATACCTTTCCAAAAGAGTAACAACAAAACATAAACAAGTTTGTGTTCTTTTTGATATACTGTAAAACAAAACCTGGGGATTATATTTGCCACATAGAAGACAACTTTTGCCCTCACCAAAAATATATGGTAAAAATGAGCATGTTGCTCTTCCGAAGTGTTACCTGAGGAAGGCCTCTTTTCTTAGCCCTTGCGGAGACCTTATTGGGATCGGCCTGCAACATCCTTCCGTACTCCTCACAGTGCTCCTTGTCTTCAGCCCAGGCGTAGCCTTCCCTCAGGGACCAGTCCACACCCATCTCCAAGGCCTCCTCCAAGTCTCTGAGCGAGTAATAAGGTCTGGTCATTTCACAGCCAAGGCAGAGCAAAAGCTACGATGACCACATCTCAACAGGGTAGAGGGAAGCAGTCCCATTCACTATCTGTCACCTGCGTACCAGACACTGTGCTGGATGCAAAGTTTATGCTCTCAGCAATTCCAGTATTTTGAGGAAAGCACTTACATGAATAATTGCAACATAAAATGTAAGTGTTGGGGTGCCTGGGTGGCTCAGTTGGTTGAGCATCCCACTTTGGCTCAGGTCATGATCTCACAGTTTGTGAGTTTGAGCCCCGTGTCGGGCTCTGTGTTGACAGCTCAGAGCCTGGGGCCTGCTTCTACTTCTGTGTCTCCCTCTCTCTCTGCCCCTAACCCACCTGCATTCTGTCTCTCTCTCAAAAATAAATAAACATTAAAAAAAAAAAAAAAAGTAAGTGCCATACAAGAGATATTATAGTTTTATTATTTTTTAAAAATTTTAAGTTGTTTCTTGTTTGCTTGTTTTGCTTTTTGTTTAGAGAGTGAGAGTGTGTGCCAGCAGGATAGAGAGCTTGGGATTCTCTCTCTCCCTTTCTCTCTCAAGATAAATACACTCTAAAAAAAATTATTTATTTAAGAACGCTCACCCAACATGGGGCTCAAACTCATGACCCTGACTAAGCCAGCCAGGCACCCTTACTATGATCTCTTTAAACCTCAGTTTCCTTTCGTGTAAAGTGGGAATAATACAAGGTTTACTATCTAGATGAAACGACAGGATATACATACATTATAGCACAGCGCCTTCCATGTGGGAAGTGCTCAATAACTGTCAGTTGGTATTATTCTATTATAAATTCTGTACGTCAAAAGCTGTTCTAATGAACATCTGTTGACTAATGTCTCTAATATATGGGCAGGACCTCATGCTTAAAAGAACAATGCATTACCACTTCCTAAAAAGTGACTGAATAATCCCCATCTCCTCAGCATCCTACATTAGATATGAATTCGAGGGTCACTGTGGTTATTTTCTTTCTCACTCTATTTATTGGAAAGTTGTCTTCTTACTTGGCATTCATGGGGATGACACCTTTTGATCCCACCCCAACAGGAATGTGGTCAAACATAGCCTGGGCAAGCTGCTCCTTCACTGGCTGGACATCGCTTTCATCTAAATTGGTTCTGAGCAAGCGGACACCGCAGTTGATGTCAAATCCGACACCGCCTATAAAATAGAGAAAAGTTAGTCAAAGATCAGCAAAACCAGGTAGTTGAACAATGTTACCTGTGGTTTCTCACCATTAATACAGGGTGTGAAAGACAGCTATTCTTTCAAAGGTTAACTTAAAACATTTTTTTTTTTAGTCTTTATTTTTGAGAGAGACAGAGTGCGAACAGAGGACCAGAGAGAGAGGGAGACACAGAATCCAAAGCAGGATCCAGGCTCTGAGCGGTCAGCACAGAGCCCGACGCGGGGCTCAAACTCACAAACGCGAGATCATGACCTGAGCTGAAGTCAGATGCTTAATTCACTGAGTCATCCAGGCGCCCCAAGGTTAACTATTTTTTTAAGGAACCCACAAAGTAGGTAAAGTCTGATGGCATCAAGATGTTTAAAATGATGTACATACTACAGGTACTTGGTGGGCCAGGAAAGTGGTAATAAACAATGAGCGTCATCTAGGCTAGAGATTAAAATGGGAATTATGTGCTTCTCTTTTTCTGTGCATCATTCTTGTTGGGGGTTTATGAATTCTATTAGCTTTTTCAAAGGGCCAATATTTGGCCTTGTTCATCCTTTCTACTATATATCATTTCATTAATTTTGTTAATTATTGCCATCTTTCTATCTTTTCTGGGTTTGTTGTTCTTTAGCTTTTTGAGATGGATGCTTAGATTACTGATATTTCAGCCTTTCTTCTAATTTGTACATTTAGGACCATGTGTTTCTATCTACATTTGGCATTAATAATAACCCAGTTTTTAGACAGTATTTTTTATTAACATCGGTTACAATTATTTTGTAGTTCCCATTACGATCTTTTTTTGAACACATGGGTTATTTATATTTTATTATATATTTTAGAAGTTTATTTATTTTGAGAGAGAGTGGAGGAGGAGCAGAGAGAAAGGGAGAGAACCCTAGGCAGGCTCTGTGCTGTCAGCACGGAGCCCGACGTAGGGCTCGAACTCACGAACTGTGAGATCATGACCTGAGCCAATACCAAGAGTTGGGCGCTTAACTGACTGAGCCGCCCAAGGTCCCCTATTTATTTATATTTTAGAGACAGAGAGAGAGAGAGAGACAGACAGACAATGCATGCCCATGAGGGGTGGGCAAAGGAGAGAATCTTAAACAGGTTCCACACTCAGCTCAGAGCCTGACACCCGGGCTTGATCCCACAACTCTGGGATCACGACCTGAGCCAAAATCAAGAGTCAGACACTCAACCAACTGAGCCAGCCAGGCGCCCCTGACCTGTGGGTTATTTAAACACACATGCTTACTTCGTAAATATATGAGATTTCCCCCTAGTTTTTGTTGTTAATGACTTCTAACTTAATTCCACTGTAATAGGTAATACCTTCGGTACCAGGAGTACTTAAGCCACTTCTGTGGTCCAGGAAAGCTTTAAGGTCTGTAAGAGTAACTATAATAATGCTGGGGCATCTAGGCGGCTCAGTTGGTTAAGCATCCAATTCATGATCTCAGCTCAGGTCTTGATCTCGCGTTCATGAGTTCAAGCCCCATACTGGGCTCCATGCTGGGCATAAAGCCTACCTACTTAAAAAAAAATTAATGCTATGGGGCCCCTGGGTGGCTTGGTCAGTTAAGCATCCGACTCTTGATTTAGGCTCAGGTCATGATCTCATGGTTCGTGAGTTTGAGCCTTTCATCAGGCTCCATGCTGACAGTACGGAGCCTGCTTGGGATCCTCTCTCCCTCTCTCTCTGCTCCTCCCCCACTCGCGCTGTCTCTCTCAAAATAAATAAACTTAAAAAAATAATGCTAACATATTATTTACATTTTAAACTTTTCTCTTCTGTGCAGTTTTCCAAAGGCTACGTGACAGATGATGGATAATGAAACACATACTTGTGTGTTACTGTTTTAAACATTTCTCAGTTTTAATTTCTGGTAAGGTAAATACTGATAAAAGCCTTTGAGAACAGCCCTCAATCATTTTTCAGAGGATAAAGGGGTCGAGTCCAAAAAGTTTGAGAACTGTTTGTTGTTAATTTCAATGCTTTAAAATTTGAGACCCGATTACGGCTCAGCAGTGTGGCCAATTTTGTGAACATTCTGTGTGCACTTGGAAAAATGTGTATTCCACAGTCCTTGGATGCACTGTGACATGTGTGCACACACACCACACGTACATATTAGAGGTCAAGGCGTCAAGTTTGCTAACTGGATTGTTCAAATCTATATCTTTACTGACTGAAATCTGCCATTACCTCAGGAGAAAAAGAGAGCTAAATGCAGCACTCATGTATCTGCACTTTTTCTCTGGTCTTTGCCTCACAAATTCTTATTGTTTCAAAAGCTTTCCTACGCTTCCAATCAGATCTGTTTTTCTCTCTTATTTTGTTTTAAAAATTTTATTCAGCCTTTCTTGTTATTCTTGGCAGAGGATTGCTCTGAAACAAGCTTATCCACCATCACAAAAGGCAGAACTCTCCAGATATAATTTAAACTTTCATTTCTTTTTCAGACTCTGAAAGCAAAGACATTATCTGGTATGAAATATTTTCAGTGAAAGCACCCCACACCAGAAAAGATATATACAACTAGACATCAATCATAATGATGACGATGAGGGCAAACACGTCCCAAACACTTCCTACGTATTTGGTACTGTGCTAAGTATCTTACAGCTTAACTCATTCAATCCTCACGGTGATGCTACGTGGAAGTAACACTGGCTCCAATTTTCCCAAGAGTTAACTGGGACACAAAGAAGACACATAATTTGCCAGTGAAGTGTTTCAGTTCGTTCTGTAGCCAATGTCTAAAAAGTGCCTGGCACAGAGGAGGAGCTCAAATAATTTTCAATAAATGTATGCTTTACTTGATGTTTTAATAGCTTCTGAGTGCTCACAATTACTTCCCTCAGTAAATGAGAAAACAAGAAAGGATAGAACATGATGAGACTGAGAGATGTCCATACTGTTCCAGAAGGGCTATGCTTCACACCTGATGGCAGACGTGCAGTGTGGCCTTACCTGGGGATACCACTGCTTCGGGGTCATTCATATCGAAGGCTGCCATGTTCCCAATAGCAAACCCATAACCTGAGTGGACATCAGGAAGCCCGATAGATCGCTGAAAGAGAATTAGAAAATGAAATCCAGCTTTCTCAACCTGGCTCTCTGGTTGTCTGACAAGTCATATTAATTCTCAAATAGGTTATAGGCCAAAGTCTTCCCAAATCAAGATTTTGTTTTCAGGAAATCTTCTCTATTGGTGGAAAGAAGTGTAAAGTCTCCTAATCATAAAGCTAGCTATAGCAAAAAAACTCTTTTTAATAAACTCTGACCATTAACTAAGGTAACAGAAAGCAGAAAAGCCTCAATGTAACATGATATAGGATGGCCACATACTAACTTTAAGGTAGTATCACGTTGTTTTTTTTTTTTTTTTAAAGTTTATTTTGAAAGAGTGCGCAGGAGGGGCGGGGTAGGGGGTGGAAAGAGAATCCCAAGCAGGCTGTGCACCATCAGCACAGAGCCTGATGTAGGGCTTGAACTCATGAAGCGTGAGATCATGACCTGAACTGAAATCAAGAGTTGGACACTCAACCGACTGAGCCACCCAGGTGCCCCTAAGGTAGTGTTACATTTTAAAGATAATCTTTAGACACGGACAAATTGTGGTCATGTCAGGCTAAATGAAGGGAAATAATCTGATTTATACAGATCCTTAGTGCTTAAGCAATCACAGGAAAATATAACCCATCTGATGGTAGGCATACTGTATACTGTCTATATCTGGGGCCTGGAAATGGCCCTGATCCAGGAAGAATGCAGGTCAAACATGGTCAGGACATATGGAGACACCTAGACACTTAAAAAACGCACAAGCCAAGTGCCAGCACAGTAAATGGTATAAAGACCTCAAAAAAAGTCTGTTGTAAGGATTTAATATCTTCTTCTGATAGTAGAACCTGACTGTCACACTGTGGAGGGGGCCCCACTTGGAGCTCCACCGGGCCTCCCTGTTACCACCACCACCCTCCTTTTCCAGTCATGTCTACAACAGCTACATTGTCCTTTTTTCTGCTCCACAGTCCTAACCCTTAAACTTCCGTCCATTCTTTCTCCAGTCATCCTCTCGAATGGGGCCAGAGTGAAACTTTCAATGTTGGTACACTGATCCAGGAATAATGATGGACTGTGACAAAGAAACAAGAAAACAACACTACTTCAAAGGTTTTTGAATGCTTACAGATTCTAGCAAAAGGGAACCGAAACTGAGATGTTACCCAGACTCAATTACTTAAGTCCCATGGTGTTTTCTACGTGTTTGAAAGTCACTGTCTAAATGACACCACTATCGGTTATATGTGGCCAGTCATCCACTCAGCAAGTTTTTAGACAAAGAGAAATATAAATGATTAAAACTCTGAACATGGACTCACATGAACAATCCCAGGCAGGGCTGCCACATTGCCAATTTGTTTCATGGCTGGCAGGAAGCCACCAACACCTGAAGACAAAAATTCAATATTAGAAAAGGAGACACGGTTGATTTTTAGCATTCAGGATATTCATGTTTCTAGCTTGCATGAAATGAAGGGTAGTGGTTAGGACTACCAGAACAACACAACATGAAAGGATGTTTGAGATGAAGGGGGAAGGCAGCACACATGAAGGAAGGCAGTGAGGTCAATCACAGGGATTAGAAACATGGCGTCAGTGTTCTGTGCATACCACGAGAAGGGTACTTGCAAACACTGTACTGGGAAATGTAAAGCAACTATTAAATTTTATGTTGCCCATGTAAAAAAAATGTATTCTTTCAACAGTTTATATTATTTACCAAAAAAAAAAAAAAATCAACACTGGATTTACTGTAAGAGACAAAGAAGGGCAATGTGGACAAGCTGGGAAAACACTGGATTGAGAGGCAGGGGATAGTGGGCTCTAGGCCCAGCTCTGTCACTTGGTTGCTGTGTCACTGTAGGCAAGTCAGGATGTCCTGGTGGGGAGAGGAGTGGGATTTAGTTTGCCGAGCTGAAAATAAAAGGGTTAAAACTAGGTTCCATTTTTGTATCATCACCATTAGAGCGTTATATTAGAGCTTTATACATTTATCTGTAAACATGACTGCAGTTCTGCAAGATAAATGTAATAAAATTCTCTTTTATAGATGAGATTAGCTGAAGTTCAGTGAGGCTACTCAGTGTACTTGGTTAAGAATATGGACTTTGGAATCAGATACTTTTGGCTTTGAGTTCTGGCTCTGTTACCAAGAAGCTCTGCAATCCTGGACAAATTGAAACTACTTAATGTCACTGAGCCTTGACTTACGCATGTGTAAAATGGAGATAACATCTTCCTCTTAAAGTGACTCTAAGAATTACATGAGATCATCTATGTACACTGCCTGGCACACAGTAAGCGCACAATAAATGGTAGCTTTTATTGCCCAAGGTTAGCTGCGAAACCAACCAGGTCCACCCAGCTCCAAATAGTTTCTAGAAAGCCAGGTGGCTAACAATGTAATGTGATCACAAATAAGTAACAGGTTTTGGTCTCATTTAAGTCTTGATCATCAGCTACAATACTTTTGTATTTTAAATTATCACTGAGTTACTATTTTCAGACCACAGAGAAGACACTATTTATGTGGCCACACGTAAAACTCTAATGTACTTACCACCACCTCGACAGGCATTTCTTAATTCCTCAAACATTAATTTTTCCAGGGCATCATTCACATAGAAAACTCCTTCAACCTGGTACCAAAGAAAAGGAAAAACTATGTCTGAGCACATGCCCAGTGTCTAGGCAATGGATAGAATATAAATACTGTATATAATACTTACTTTGCTTTATTCTTTATAAAACACTTCCTCATTACCTTAAGCAAGCAGAAAACTTCCAAAAATTACAAGATGTTCCTATCTTTAAATATATTTTAATGTTGCAATGTTCACAAATTATTTTGTTTTTCTCCTACTCTCAAAGCCATATTTTAGAATTCAACAGGTAGGAGCGCCTGGCTGGCTGAGTTGGTTGAATTCCTCTCAGGTCATGATTTCATAGTTCGTGAGGGGCACAGGGTACGTGAGTTTGAGCCCTGCATCGGGCTCTCTGCTGTCAGCACAGAGCACGTTTCAGATCCTCCCTCTCTCGCTGCCCCTCTCCTGCTCACTCTCTCTCAAAAATAAATGTTAAAAAAAAATTCAACAGGTAAAATATTTTTTGCATGTGTGATAAAGCACAGTCTTCCAACTATGCTCTAAGGTCAAAAGTCCTACTGCTCTTGTGCTTCTAAAAATCAGTGGGTCTTGATAAATAGATGAATAAAAAAAAAAAAAAAAACAACCAAAAGGTTCTAAACATAAAAATGCAGTTATCTGACCTTAGTGTACTTTGCTCGTGCTTAAGACAATAGCACATTACACTTTATTGTGTCCTATGCTGATCTACAGATCTATACTTAGGTAAACAGCAAAAATTTAACATGTAGCTATGCATCTGTGTGTTTAGTTCTATAATCTATATAGTTAGTTTTAATAGGATAAAAAAGCTTGATAATAGAACATAAAAAGGCAATGGGGGACATAATTATGTAACACCAAAGGCCAGAACATTTTTATCAAAGATCAAATATTATGAAGGAACTGCCCACTAATGGATAATGGATGAAGACCTTACACTTAATCATCTGGACAAATCTCTTTCTTTTATAAGAGGATTTCTCCATGAATAACACTACTAGTTGAAGGAAATGTCTCCAGTACAATTTTCTAAGTGCCACATTTATTTTTTTCAACGTTTATTTATTTTTGGGACAGAGAGAGACAGGGCATGAACGGGCGAGGGGCAGAGAGAGAGGGAGACGCAGAATCGGAAACAGGCTCCAGGCTCTGAGCCATCAGCCCAGAGCCCGACGCGGGGCTGGAACTCACGGACCGCGAGATCGTGACCTGGCTGAAGTCGGACGCCTAACCGACTGCGCCACTCAGGCGCCCCAATGCCACATTTATTTTTATACACATATATCTTAATGGCTATTTATTTTTGAGAGACAGAGAGTGTGTGTGTGCATGTGCATAAGCCAGAGAGGGTCAGAGAGATCACAATCCTCTGCTGTCAGTGCAGAGCCCGATGTAGGGCTCGAACTCATGAACTGTGAGCTCATGACCTGTGATGAAATTAAGAGTCAGATTCTTGGGGTGCCTGGGTGGCTCAGTCGGTTGAGCGTCCGACTTCGGCTCAGGTCATGATCTCACTGTCCGTGAGTTCGAGCCCCATCGGGCTCTGTGCTGACCGCTCAGAGCCTGGAGCCTGTTTCAGATTCTGTGTCTCCCTCTCTCTCTGCCCCTCCCCCGTTCATGTTCTGTCTCTGTCTCAAAAATAAATAAACGGTAAAAAAAAAAAAAAAAAAAAAAAGAGTCGGACTCTTAACTGAGCCACCCAGGTGCCCCATAAGGGCCACATTTATTAATTCACCAAACATTTACCGAGGACTCATGCTTCAGGCACTGTACTGGGCCACTAGGGGAGAAACAAAGAATATGAAAGATCCCATTTTTGAGGAATTTCCAGTCCAGGATGCAGCCCAGACTAGAAAATTAAGAGTACCAGGAGGCAACTGCCATGACAGGTGTGTCCCATGGGAGAAATTGATGCAGAAGTGGTTCAGCAGCCTAGCGAGCCCGCAGAGGTTTCACGGGTGTTCACTGTTTGAACTAGCGTTCAAAGAACAGGGACATGACCTGAGCTTAGGAGACACTTAGGAGACAAAGGAGGCACAAAGATGACAAAGGTGGGAGGGGGGTGTTTTAGGGAAGAGGAATTTTCAGTGCAGCCCAGGGGTCTTAAGGGAGGAACGGAGATTAAGTAGGATGGGGCAATCTCTGTGAAGTCACTAATCTCAATGAGAATGGGAATACAATTCAGGGTTAGCAGAATCTGTATCTTCTTAGGAGCAGTATATGGAGATTTCAACTCACCCCTCTTAGGCGAGAAGTGGTGGTGAAGTGTTTGTTGTACAAACAGTTAAACCACAAGTGCCTAGCAAAATGAGACTTGCTCCTGGGCAGAATCAACAGCCGCGTGTGTATCACAGGTCAAGCCGGAATCACTACCAGACACGGACAGTGTGTTACCATGATCATGCCATGGTTAGTTCCTATTCCTTCTTTCAGGGAACCAGATTCCATCAACAGGAACTGGCTAAATGGAAAACAGCCAAAAAGAATCTTAGGACCGGAGCTTTTTCTCTCTCCTCTCCGCGTCTAGCTAGGTGCTTTGCTCAATGGAGGACACTCAGGAAGTTTTGATGTTGAGTAAAAGAGTGAAATGGCTGTCAGGAACTTTTACCAAATCACAAACCTTCAATACACTTACAAGGCACCTTAAGTGATTTCAGAAGCTATTTAATAACATATGCACCAAAACCTTACAAATGCCTCTTTTCCTTCACTTTAATGGAAGATAATAGACACAAATGGCAATGAAGCCCGAGAAATACAGTTGAGCCCGGGCTTTCAAACTCCCTGGGAATGGGTCCCCAAGTCTCCATCGGGAATAAATCATTCCGCCAGAGGAAAGCGAAGTAAAATGGGTATCGAGTCCTGGCTGGGCTTCTTGCTGGGGGGTGGGGTGGGGGTGGGTAGAGGAAGCCGTGTCACCACCCGATCCTTAGCGAGGTGATTATTAAAAACAGGCTACCCTGACCTGTGAACTTCAACTGTTGTGAGACACAAAAACGTCTCATTAAAAACCCACACAGAACAGTGAAGGCTAACAACTTGCTTCAGCGTTCTGTAAACGTCACCCAGATGACCAGCATGACTCAGGAACGGAGTTCGTGTCCCAGCAACTCCACCCCGGACCGGCTGTGCCACCGGGTAAAAAAAAAAAAAAAACAACTACTAACGTCTCTGAAGCTCGGGAGTGTAACACCTTACGGGGCGTTTTTGAGACTTCTGTGTCAAAGCGCTTCGCAAGCGCCGATTTCGTGTTCACGTACATTTCCCAGACACGCTCCGCTCTGCTGGTCCTCGTGGCCTAGGGACCGTTCCGGCCGGGACGTGGGGCCGGCCGGAGGGTGGGGGTGGGGGCGGTCGGAACACTGCCGGGGGGCAGGGGCGGCCCGGGCGCTAGCTAGGGGTAGGGAGAGCGACGGGGACGCCGGGCCGGGTGGGCAGGGAGGCGCCGCGGGCCCCCAGGCGAGAAGGCCCCGCCACCCCACCGGCTCCTGCTTCTCCGCCTCACCTGCATGTTGGGCACGAAGCCCTTCTTGATTCTCCAGCAGTTTTTATTGATCTTTTCCAAGAACTGCAGCTCATCATTATAGCTGCGACTCATGGCGGCGGCAACGGTGGCGAAAACTCCCGGCTCCGCTTTGAAGAGCTACTGCCGCGCTGTCCCGCAGCCTGAAGTACCACCTTCGCGCAGTCAACGCGCAGGCGCGGCCGGCTCCGCCGCAGGACCGGCGACGGCAAGCGCCGAGGCTCGAAACTCGTGGGAACAATCGCTTTCCTCGCGTAAAATTAGACTGCCCTCTAGTGCTTACCTTTTCGGATGTTTACTTGTCCTTCTCTTCCAGGTTTAAAGCTCATGTAAATGCAGTCGTTTTAAGTGAGATCTAGTCATCCTTCGTTTTGGAAGTGCTTGTCTGGATCGGGCCCACCTGCTGTAGTGAATATCTGCCTGGGGTTTACATTCCCAGCAGAGAGGGGAAGAAGATATCTAGACATGAGAAACATGTCTTGGGGCTCCTGGGTGGCTCAGTTGGTTAAGTGTCCGACTTCAGCTCAAGTCATGATCTCACGGTTCGTGAGTTTGAGCCCCGCGTCGGGCTCTGTGCTGACAGCTCAGAGCCTGGAGCCTGCTTCAGATTCTGTGTCTCCCCCTCTCTCTGCTCCTCCCCTGCTCACACTCTGTCTCTCTCTCTCTCTCACATAAATAAATGAACATTTAAAAAAATTAAAAAAAAAAAAACATGTTTCTCTATATCTAGAGACTTGTAATGTTTCAATGAATTTATGGATGCAAATGAAGTAACTTTTCTGTCGGAAACGCACATTCCAAAGAAAGAAAGTGACAGTTTATCATTTATTCCACCAAACACTGATGAGGGTGGTAACTGTGGCCGATGTGCTCGACAAAGATGAGTAAATCCAAGCCCCTGTGGACAGCCAGGCTTCCCTTCTGGGACCACTAGGGACCCTATGCTCATGCTCTTTTATACGCGTGTCACTTGCAGTAGTAAGTGATCTTTACATGATTATGGCTTCTAGTCCTACCTCACGTAAATAGCAGTGGCTTTGGAATCAGTAAGACTTGGATTCAATTTCTACCTCTGCCACTTACCAGCCTTGTGTGATTCATTTCTCTTCACCTTTGTTTCCTCATCTGTAAAATGGGACCACAATTCTTGAGAGTGTCTGTGAAATGAGTGACACTCGTGGAGTAACCAGCACGGGGCGTGGTAGGCACTCCAGGAAAGGGCTCTCTTCCACACCTCGGCTGGACTGTCAGAGCCACAAAGGCGAAGTTTGCGGCTTCTGTTCATTTCTTAAGTTATCCATATGGGTTCTCCTTTCCTCCTTTTCTGCCTCAGTTTCACCCGATGATTAGGTCTCTAACAATTTAATATCATCAACTACCAACGATCTAAGTTTGGTACTCTGCACTGTCATTTCATTCAATGTGGCAGGAAAAACAGCCTAAAACTTAAACTTCCAGAGTCTCCTATGACCACTGTTTCTCACCAGAAACATCTAAGAGGCAAAGTATTCCCTTTTATTTATTTTTATTAAATTTTTTTAGGTTTATTAATTTTGAGAGAGAGAAAAAAAGCAAGTGTGCGTGGGCAGAGAGAGAGGGAGAGAAAATCCTGAGCAGGCTCTGCATAATCAGCACAGAGCCTGACAAGGGGCTTGAACTCACAAACTGTAAGATCATGACCTGAGCTGAAATTGAGTCAGATGCTTAGTGGACTGAACCCCCCAGGCCCCCTAAAGTATTCCCTTTTCAAACCTTGAAATCTGCACAATCTCACTTTTCATCAACTTAAGGATGCTAATTCTCTCATCTTTGTCTGATTTTATTTAAAAAAAAAAATCCAAGGCAGGGAATTTTTCCAAAAAAAAAGACAAGGTTGACATTGATAGAAAACAAGTTTAATTAAAAACAGAGGACAGTAGCAGTAAATATAAAACATAAAATCCAATATGCGGGGAAGTGTGGGAAACCCTGGGTTGCTGAAAGAGCTCAAGGGAGCTGTCATGCAAATCAGAGTTTCTCAGGCACCTCCTCAGAAGCACAGGCCTAGCTCTTGGCCCCAGCACCTTATTAACACAGGAGCACACAAATGTGCATTCAAACACGAGCACACATCCAAACACCCACCCCTCCATACACGTGGAGACACACACCCTGATTTAGCTCTTTAACCCAGTTTGCCTCCCTCTTCCCTGAGGGTTTGAGAAAGAAAACTGTCAGCCTAAGCATTTCACTAGGGCTTACAACCCAGTGTGTACTGTCTGCCCCTTCCCGGTTTACAGTAGCTGTGGGATTAAGGGCCATCTACTTCCTGGAGTGGACTCCCAACAGACAGTCAAGCAGCTGGCTTCCCCCTCCACTGTCCATTTATGAAGTTCAGACCTTCCCAACCATGGAAACTTGGCTGCTGCTTTAAGGACGTTTCATACTTCAGGTCGGTGGAAATCAAAAGGAAACCCTGAAAAGGATGCAAGGGTGAAGACAACGTCACACTCTGTGGACCCGCAGCCATGGGCTATCTGAGTTTGCTGAGGAGTGAGGGAGAGATGGTCTCTTTATTGGGTTCTTCTGGGTCAAACCCACCCTGCCCCCATCCCCTTGTGAGTGCCTCAGACATAGGAGCAGGCCACTTGGGATAACTGTCACCTTATGAGACTTAAGCGACTATAGAAGGAGAGGTGGGGAGGGAAGGGGGTGGGCAATAGTGTACAGGATTGGAAAATTCCATCAGAATCTTACTTCCACCCCCGTCCCCCCCCCCCCCCCAGAAGCGTCAAAATGGAAGAAAAAAGTGTTCTGAAGCTTGTTTATCACGATTAATGAAGAAATAGCTCACAACAGATCCTGAACCTAGAGGAGGGTCTTTGGTTCAGGCAAAAGTTCAATGAGAGAATAAATGAAACAGACACACCACAGTGTAGCGTCTCGTACTGTGGTGTGAATAGGTCTGGCTGTGAAAGGAAATCAGACTCGGGTTGATTTTTCAACTCAAGTTTAAATGCTTTTCATAGTTGACTGCAAACTTTAAGAGCTAAATGTTTTTGTCTGTAAAATGTGGGCTGGAAACACACGAAGCAGAACAAAGTAGCGTAAAACAGAGGAAGCAAATTAGGAAGAGGCTTATTCTAGTATGAAAGAAATTGGGCAGTTAGGAGAATATTCACATTCTTACCTCAAAAACTTCAATATCTGAATTGACAAAGGAGATCTTGTGTGGGTTGGGCAGGGGAAATCCTTGCTGCAATTTTGCTAAAATATAGAATAAGGTGTAAGATAACTAGGCACAGACACAGCAGTTTTAGCAAACTTTTTAGTAAAGGACAAATAAGCAGCTTTTAAATAATATATCTTTTGCTTCTTCCTGATTTCTGTGTTTTCATTCTTTGTCCCTAGCATTTTCCTAGATGAATGCTTACTTAATTAAAGAAGTGCTTAATAAAAATGCACATGCAATTATGTACATTTGGATGGCAGAAAAATGCTGGCAACTTGTCCAGTTTATATTTTGAAAATTCCATAATTTGTAGGTCTGAGAACATTTTGGTCTCTGATACAAAGTGTATTTTATTTAAAAAAAATTTTTTTTAACATTTATTTATTTTTGAGACAGAGACAGAGCATGAACGGGGGAGGGTCACAGAGAGAGGGAGACACAGAATCTGAAACAGGCTCCAGGCTCTGAGCAGTCAGCACAGAGCCCAACGCAGGGCTTGAACCCACGGACCGTGAGATCATGACCTGAGCCGAAGTCAGACGCTTAACCGACCGAGCCACCCAGGCGCCCCTACAAAGTGTATTTTAACCAAGACAAACTCAAGATGTTGCAGTTTGTGAATGGTTGCATACAGGGAGAGGGACTAGGATTGTCCTTCATTAAAACTGTCTATCCAGATGGTGGTCTGTGTATAAAACCACAGAGATGCCCTCTAGGGAGAATAGTCTCATTTCTGCCTGACCTGAAGGAGATTCTTTACTGCCTCAGGAGGGCAGTTTCAATCTCTTTAATTCAACCAGAGTTTCACTGTTCTTGCTGAGTTCTGCAGGTAGTGTTGTTAACAAGGCTTGGACTGGAATAGCTAATTTTGCAATCACATCATTGATGGTACAAACTGTAAATTCTGGCATTGGCCTGGATTTACAAAATAACGTGCTACAAGTACAGGCCTTGGGGTGGAAAGTCCCAAACAATCCCCAATGTTTGATTACCTCAAAGTCACATGTTCCCCAGAATGTCTTACCGTTGGCCAGTGGGAGGATACCAAAGTGGAGAATGGAGGACAGAATATTCTCAAACCTCAAGACCTAAAATGAAAGGGGATACTAAATCAGTTGCCAAATCCTGGCATTTTGAAAGTACCATGCCTGGTCTGGATGTGCACTTCCCCAGACCTTATCACGACAGAGGGCGATAGTTACAATCTCCCCATAGAGACAGTCTCGCTTTCCAGACACTGAACACTATTTTGCAGGAAAGCATATTAAACAGTTTCCCAATCTTTTTTTCCTCCTTGAGGATGGACATTTCTGTTCTTTGGGTATGCTAGATCATGGTGACAACAAATGTAGAGGGACCACACGGTGGCAGCGAACATGGCAATTAAGATATTTACCAAGTAAAACCATCTAAACAATTGATAAATATCCCAATTAGTAAGTAGTCTGCCCTAATTGAGTTGCATTATGTTATGCTCTATATTTAACAGTCTCACCAGAACATCCAGTTTATCTTGAGTAAACTATGGTAGTAAATCTTAGCAGAGTGTCAGCTCCTGGGAAGGTTCAGGTATTAAAAATAAATGGACATGATGAACATCGATTCACTCAATGAATATATTTTGAACATCCTACATGCTTAAGCAAGCTATGCAGCCTAGCAAGGAGGGCTCTGAGGCTGCCTTCCTAGGTTTACCTCTTGTTTTTGCCACTTAGGTCATGTTGGGAAAGTCTTTAACCTCTTTATGTCTTGGTTTCCTCAAGTGTAAAATAAAGATAAACAGCATGAATGTCACAGGGTTGGTCTCATGTTTAAACAAGTTAATATTATGTAAAATGTCCAGTATTAACCACTGTCATTTGTTTCAGAAATGTCATTGTTAGCATTCTCTGTTGTTGATCCTAAGCAGTTTTTTGGGGGGTCTTCCTAGAAGACTTGGGACTCATTTGCCTTCTCTAGGCTCAGAAAATATTTATGAGAAAGTCAGCTATACTTTCTCACGGACTATAGTTTGTCTTCTACCAAAGAGCTATGCCACGGAGGTGCTAACCCACAGTGCATGAGACAATCTTGGTATTTTAAATTTCAATGTCTGGCATGAAAGATGTTATTTCCAGCACTGTTGCCACTGGCTCCTATGTTCCCAACCTGAAAATCAGGATGCTCCTATAAAATTAAACAAACAAACAAACATCTTGTTTGGTCTCCTGGATAAATTCTCTGGTTTCTTCGCTATTTTCCGCAGTTCTATTTCTCTCTTAGTGGCTGCTTCTGGTGAACGTGGTAATAAATTCAGTACTTACTGTGTCCCAGGACTGCCCTGTGGGAGCTTAAGTGACCTGGTCAAGGCCACAGAGCCAATAAGTGGGAGTTCACTCTAGCAGTTTGGTCTCAGAGTCTGTATGGGTAACCGTTATGCTATACTGCCCCTTGACACAGAGGTGGTAATAGCTGAAATGAATTTTTGTAAAAACAATGGCCATCATTTATTTAATGCCTGCCATGTGTTCAACGTACTAACTAAATTTCGTATATAATCCCAGCTAATTGTCCCAACAACCCCAATGCTGTAATCACCACCTCCATGTTTCCTTGCACTACCGATTCTCTTGCCCTGACTTGTCTTTCTCTATAATATTTTTCAGCACATACAATATAAATTTGCTTGTCGTCTCACCCTACCCCTGTCTCACTTACACATACACACGCATACTCACGCACTCACTCACTCACTTACTCACACACGTACATTCTAGAATAGGACTGCCCATCATTGGCAGTATTGACACTTTGGGAAGGATTATTCTCTGCTGTGGGGGTTGTCCTGTGCACTGTGGGATGTTAAGCAGCATCCTTGGCCTCTACTCACTAAGTGCTTATAACAACCCCCAGATTGTGACAACCAAAAAATGGCTTCAGACATTGCCAAATGTCCCCAGGGCGGGGGAGGCGAAACTGGACTTAGGTGAGAACCACTGCTCTGGATTATGTGTACCATGAGCACAGGGACATCAGTTAGTGATTTGGATGATCTCCCGTTAGTTTGGGGAGAGGCTTGTTTCCATGAGATAATACTCTTCCAATCAGGAGGTCACCAGGCTGGGGCCCCCAAAAAGGTATCTGCACGACCAGCCTTGATACGATTTTGGGAGATGGCTAGTAAGGCTTCAAAGAGCAAACTTAATCATGGCCGAAGAATTTACAGATAGCCTCATCTTTGGGAGTTTGGATCTTATATTTAATTCTTAAAGATTCTTTATCCAAACAATGAAATATCCCTGAAAATGCCTGTTTTTTTTTCTCCCAACATTACATAGGTATTAGTTTTAAAAAAGTTATTTTAAGTCTTTCTGAATTGATAAAAGTGAATTGGAGAGTTCCTGTCCTGTTTAAAAGTTAATGGGGTTGGTAGACAAGTAGCTACACGAGGAATTTTAAAGTTAAAATCTATGTTCAAGGGGAAACTAAGTACTCAGGGGCTTAGAAAACAGTCATCCAGCTACAATATAGGAAAATTCTCAGTTTTCCCTTGACAGAGAACCCTGAGAGCTTTGACTCCTACCTCAATGTTGCTGCGATTGGACTCTGGTAAAGAGAGGCGGAATCTGAAACAAAACAAAACAAACAGGAAAATTTTAAAGGATGGAAGATTTAAAAACGACCATCTCAGTAGAAAGGCACAAAAAGGAAAGGGCATTTTTTTTTAAGGTCCCTAAGCCACTACTTAAAAAAAAAATGCACAGACTTATGAGGATACAATGTTCTATTACATCTTTATCCCTGTATTTGCTACTTAAGAAGCAGAGCAGGAGTAGCAGAAGGCTTAGGTTTGTAACCAGGATGGATTTCTCAAGTGCATTTGCTATATGGGACTTACTGATGGCAACTCTAATGCAGCACAATCTTAAGAAACAGTTTTCAGTCTCTAGCCATACCACCCTGAATGTGCCCGGTGTCATCTGATCTCTGAAGCTAAGCAAGGTGGGGCTTGGTCAGTACTTGGTGGGGAGAAATAGTGTGCACAATTTCTTGGTCTGAACTCCCAGAGTACACATTTGATTTTTCTGTGCATAGTAATAGCAATATGAAGCAGTAGTCAACAGGATCACATCATTTCATAGATGGGGAAACTGAGGCCCAAAGAGGGGAAATATTAATGGCAGATTTAGGACTAGAACTCAGATCTCTGGATGGCCATCCCAAACCTCCCTTCCATTGTAGGATATTGTCTTACGTTGCTTTTCCCTTTAGCTTTCCATGGCTCACTTTTGCCCAGGTATAGAGCTTTACTTCTGCATCAGCCTTCTAATGCCTCTCCCTGTCTCCAGTCTGATCTCCAATCTGTCTTCCACACCATGCCCAGAGTCAGCTATATGAGAGGGATGTCTGATGAGGACACGCTCCTGTTCAAAATTCTTTAATGGCTTGTGATAGAGTTCAACTCACTTATATGGCACACAAGCTTTTCTGTTTTCTGGTGTCCAGTTACCTCTCTGCTCTCACTTCTGTTCATTCTCCACCTTGAACTTTATATTCAAGAACTCTGAACTGCTTAGTGCTATGCTGTTTTATTAATCAGGCACCATATATCCGAGGTTAAAAAAATATATTGGCTTTAGAACACATAACAAAAAATCGTGAATAACTAAAATTAACACACGCCCACAACCAGTAACATTATGGCCACTCAGCACTTTAACTCAACTCCACTCATGGGTAAATTTAGATGACATTAAATGTGGAATAATGCACTTGAATATATGCAACATATTTTGGGCTGGATTCTCCAAAATTAGAGTAGATAAGGTCATAAAGATCTTAAAACAACTGTAAAGTATTTCCTTGCATATTCCATGTTTCTGGCCTCCATGCTTTTCGCTCATGCTGTTCCCTCTTTCTGAAGTTGGCCCTCCCCTTTTCTTTGACTGGTTAACTCCTTTTAATTGCTTAAGATTTAACTCCAGTGTTACTTTTTCCAGGCATCTTTATGTTATTACATTTAAGGAGCGGATAGATATTAATAGAAGAGGTAAGCTTGCTTGTTATCGGCCAATATCCTGTTATTATGAATTAAGTTTTGAGATTGCTGCAAAGTGACAGGCAAGAGTAAAAACCAAAAAAGACGGTTAGATCTGACAGGGATCAGAGATGGCATCAGTGGCACCGTGGCTCAAGTGGATCTCAGTGGGAAGTGAAGACCAGAATCCTTAGGGCATCTTTAGTAAAAGGCGACAGATTTATGCGATCTGAAGAGAAACCAGAGTACAGGGCATCTTTAAAGGAGGAAGGTGAGCAGTTGAACAAACACTTGAAGGCATTGCCGGAGAAATGTGAGGGGGGAGTGTCTCCTCTTGGCCAAACTGCCATTTATGATGGGCAACCTAGGCCAGGTTTTAGAAAGTCATCTGACTGAGAGGTGGAACACTGTAAACTTCTTTCTTTCTTTCTTTTCTTTCTTTCTTGTTTCTTTCTTTTCTTTCTTTCTCTTTCTTTCTTTCTTTCTTTCTTTCTTTCTTTCTTTCTTTCTTTCTTTCTTTCTTTCTTTCT